CATCTTATTTTTCTAGAAATAATGAACTTGCATCTGATGCACATTTTAGATATCAAATACACAATGTGTAAATATATACATATTTTTCAAAAAATTATAGAAAGTACTTGAGCAAAAATACTTCAAGTTCTCTGTTTGGAGATAAATATTGACTTAGTCTTATGATTCCCTTGGGTTTGCCTTTTGCAATAGTTTGTGAATCTTGGACATGGAAGCAGATATGCAGAGATTTATTTTGTTTTTATTGTTTAAAATTTTGGAGGCAAGAGCAGTATCAACAATTCTGTTGGATAAAATGAAGTCAAACAGAGAATCAGGCAGCGGTCAGGAGATTTCCTTATCCAAACCTCAGTTAAGTACATAAACAGTAAAATCATTTGTTTGTTTCAAGTAAAGCCTTTTTTTTTTTCCCTAGTTTAAACCAAGGCCATAGAACTGAGGGCCATTTGGTATATGCCCTAGAAGCAGAAGAGAAAGATATAGCAGAACTTTAGCTGCTCAGAATAAATGTTGTTTAAACTTTAGTCCAAGGACTCAATTTCATTAAAAAACTCAACCAAAAAAAAAAAAATGACCTTATCTCTTAGGGTTCATGGCATTTATAATTCTCAAGTCAGATCCAAAGCATCTGACCTCACATTCCTATTTTACTCTTTGATAGTGATGAGCAAAATAGACCTTAAAAATCAGAGTCAGCTGAAATTCAGTAAGGGCATCTGTCAGTACCATAATATTAGATTTGGGCCAGCATTTAAAAATGGGTAATTAGGAATCTGGCTCTTTTTGCTGTGCTGAGATCCCGGCCAAAATCTCCCCCATTGCAGGTGGTCTGTGGGAACCGGGTTCATGAAGACTTTAATGTGGTTCTATTTATGTCTCTATGTTAGACAATAACCCCGAAGCCATGGCTGCTGTGATTCTGCCAGGATAGCCTCCAAAACAAAGCACGGACCTCATTTCCAAGGGACCCACCACAATTCAGTATTAGCACAGTGCCCAGAGCCCTAGTTGTGGATGGCCTCGTTGTTTGTGTCTGCTATCAGTGTGGCCATCAGGACAACAGGGGACTCGCTGACTGTTTCTCCCTGAAGCCAGAAGGCCAATATTCAGTAGAGAGATGGGGCTAATCCACTCTGTACCATCAAATAGAGTATCTCCAGTTTTCTTCGTCGCTGGAGGGCTTTACTGGCAGGTGGTGGAACAGGTTCCTAGGTTCGTGTTGATAGATCTTAGCAATATAAGTATTCCTTCATTTATATTTACTGGGTAAAGATCTCTGCAGTATTCTGCCTCATTTGATATTCAAAACTGTTTTGTGGTATAGGAAAAGTTTGTAGTTTTAGTCTCATTTTCAGGTGAAGGGAGACATTGGAAGGGTTAAGTGATGTGCCTCAGATCACCAAGCCAATAATTAGAAGATCCAAGAACTCTTCCCAGCTTTGGGATCTCTTCATCAGCTTCTGTTTGATCTGCAGTCACCTGCTGTAGAAACTGCTAGGACAGGGGCTGTGTGATGGTGTCTAGGACTCTGTTCACCAGTACATCAGACCCAGGAACAGTCAGACTTCTAGTTGCGGCTACTGCTGTGACATCACCAATTCTGCCATACTGATTGTTAGCCATGCAGCAAGTCAATGTCACAGACTTAAAAAATGATAATCAGACTCCTACTAACTTGCCATGTCTACAGGGGTTGGAGGAAGGTGCAGTAAGGGGCATCTTTTCAGGGGGCTTGGGTTCTGTTTTTAAGGTCTGGATAACAAAAAATTTATAACTGGATCACGATGTAGTAGCAGTGACTTTCTTGTTCAGTTAGAAAATATACTATGCCTGTGAGTTTCCAAAAACTATGCTGAATTGTAGAGACCTATTAAGAAATATTATAGGGTGCCTAGGCGGCTCAGGCAGTTAAGTGTCTGACTCGTGATATTAGCTTAGGTCTTGATCTCAGGGTCATGAATTCAAGCTGTGTGTTGGGCTCCACAGTAGGTACAGAGCCTACTTAAAAAAAAAAAAAAGGAAATATTAGAAGGACTTCTCTCCAAGAGCTCATAATTCCATTGAAGAGATAATTCATGTGCACATAAAATAACCAGCAACTTTAGGGCAATGGTTCATTAATACTAAGGAGAGGACCACATGGGGAGGCTGATAACTTAGCAGGACTGGCACAATGAATTGAGGTGATCTTAGAAGACTTGGATTTTCATGGTGGAAATAAAAGTCAGATGCTATATGTGAAAGAGTGGTAGGCATTCTAGATGATGGCTTGAGGATAACAGGGAAAAAAATGGGCAAAAACATGGAAATGAATAGAGCGTGTTGGAAATATAATTAAATCCATCCTACTAAACGTAAGAATTTACAACAGTGAGGGGGTGAGAGACTGATGTCCAAAAGTTGGGAAGGTTATGGATGGCTCTGAATGCCAGTAGGAATAATTGATTCTCTAATCTTGAAAGTAGTTCTTTGGGTGTTTTGAGATAGACAGTGATATGTAAGCCGTGGCATTTTCCCTGGTGGCTGTGCCCGGGAGACAATGAAGAACACAGGGGAAAACAGACTGCCCAGGAGAAAGAAGTTAGTAAATGGAGCAGACATCCCGATGCAAAGTGACCCATCCGTGGAGCCTGATGGCTGCTAGCTGGGAGGAGGGGGCTGGGGAGACCTGGTCCTGCCGCCAGCGCTGGCCTGGGGGTTCCTGCACAGACGCTGCCCCTGCTTCGGTTTACTTGCTCTTGGCTACAGCTTCCTTCCTCACACAGCCACAAATTGTTCTATGGCTCGAAAAAGAAGTTTTATTCATCTCTCTTTCACCCAGGCCATCAAGAGTGGCCTGAGAGATTATGGCAAACTTGGCAGACACCTCCCATGTGAATTCATTCCTTCGTACTTGGTGCCATCTTATACCACATTGACTCATATTGAATCTGATTGTACCGCATTGAATTGAAAGGACCTGCCCACCTAACCCTTTGTCCCTCTGACTTTGTGTCCTCTGTGTGAGCCGTTTCTGTCAGGGAGTCCTCACTCTTGGTGCTGGGGGATGTGTGGGCTGTTGCTGGCCGCACAGCAGTGAACGAACAGCACACCAACCCTCATAATTCCATCCATGTGTGTTTTACAAACAGTGCGTCCTTTCCTTGGAAAGTGACAGTATTGTTTGGGGAGAGGTGAGCCTGTTAGGGTCCCCAAGATCACCTGTTTTGAAGATCCACTAGGATTCCTTCTAGAACTCCGTAAACATTACAGCTGTGATACATTACAATGAAAGGCTGCAAAGCAAAATCAGCAAAGGGATAGGAACATGGGGCAAAGTCTGGAGGAAACCAGGTGCAACCTTCTGAAAGTCCTCTCCTAACAGAGCCCCACAGACTGGGCTTCTTTCCTGATACGAGTGGTGACAGCACATGTGAAATATTGTCTACCGGTCTCATTAGAGGGCCAGTGCCCAGACTTTTTATGGGTGGGGGGGCTGGTTATGTAAGCACCTTCTGCATGACACATTCCCAAATCCAAGACTCTCAAAAGAAAAGCAGTGTTCAGCATAAACCACATTGTTTGTACCAACATTTTAGGTGCAATGAGCCACTCTTAACTATCTGGAGGAATTGGGGCACCCTCTTAAAATCCAAGTTTCTAGATGCCAGCCAAGGGCCAACCTTGTAAGTAGGCCTTGTAAGGAGAGCAGTCTCTAGCCTGTTGGGTTCACTCCTGTGGACTTGGAATGATTGTTAGCACTTCAGTTGCTGAGAAACGGGTTTTTGATGGAGAAGTGTTTCAAAATCCCGGGGAGTCTTATGTTAAGTCATGTTTCTGGAAGTGAGATTTGAGTTTGGGACAAAAGAAAAGGATTCCAGGAGGAATCATGGAGCCCAGAGGGCTGAAAGTGGTCCTGGTCTTCTGTCATATGCAGTAGATGAGAGAAGCAGGTAGAGAACATGAATGGGTTTTAGGAACCCCAGAGAAGGGAAAGGATCAACATGGAGGAAGTACTCCTTAGTGTAATGCTGCAGATGGGTAAGAGTTTGGGGCACCGAAAAAAAGTGCCATTGGGAAGTCTTATAATAATGTGTAAATCGATCTTTTTTCTTAAAATGATCTGTATACGTTAAAGCAAGACTATTTCAGCCAGCACCTTAATAACGTCCCTGCCCATTGCATCTTTCCCTTTTCTTTCCATCACTTTACAAAATCCCTATTTCAATTGTTTTGAGGTCATTGTCTTGCATTAGTTTATTTGGGTGTAGATGTCACAGGCAGATAGAAATGGATGATCTTTGGGAAAACTAAACAAAATTCTTTGAGCATTACTGCCTCCTTCTCTCTGGTAATTACTTGAGGACAGCAGCCGCCAAAAAGCATCTCTTCCATTCTTGATGGAAAAGTAATTCTGTTTATTCATTTAAGAGGATTGTGTTTGCTATTCCATTAATCTCATTGCTGCTTGCTAGTGAAGAATGAAAATTGAAAGCTGCTTGTTTTGAGTCCCAAGGGGATGGCGAAAGTGTTTGAATTTCCTATGACACTCTTGGACTCTTCCCAGACCTTGACTCCTAGGTCCTAGCTCTGATACTTAATTTCTCTCTTGGTGGGTTCTCAGATGTTAACATTGTGCAGCCCCTCTGAGGTGGATGGCCATCATTACAAAGAACCACATGACCCAATAGTGGCTTTTCCTTCGCTTGTAATAAAGACCTATCTGAACCATGTTTATTTGGGGAAAAGAAACAACTCTTTTTGTGGCTGACTTTGAGTAGTTAGTGGCACAGCAAATACTGGTACCTCCTCTCACACTCAAGGCGTATCAGGAATGGGAAGTTCTTGGATGGCAGAGGGTGGCAGACATAAGTGCTGAATGTGGCATTTGCAGTCCCTTGAGTAACCTTGAGTGGTAGGGCCACTTTTAGCTTTACTCACTTCATTGGACTTCAGGAAGGCAAATGCATGCAGTGATTGAAGTGGTTTTAAATTCTCTATCTCTTGTCCTAACATCCCAGGGCTTCCAGCAAAAATTCTCCTTCCACAGTAAAGAGATTGTGGCCATCAGCTGTTCCTGGTGCAAGCAGGCGGTAAGTTTGGGGACAAAATGAAACAAAATGTGCTTATGTTTTATCACAGCAGACTTACATCATTACTTGAGTTACTGTCTACAAGTGGAAGGTTATTCTAATTTATGATTATTTCTCTCAAATAGGGCCATTGAAGGAATAAAGATTAAAACTATAGAACTGTAGTCTATATGACCTGGAAGAAACTATAGAGGTCAATTAACTTCTTCGTTTATATACACTGAAGCCTAGGATCAGAGACTGGGAAATCTTCCCCTGGTTCTAACCCTGGGTCTAGAATCAAGGACTTCTTACTCCATAGACTGTATTTCTTCTGCTACTCTAGATTGTTGATAACTGCTTTATGATTGAAAGTTGCAACATTAGGTAATCCTTCTAACACCAGAATCCAGCCATGTTGGTCCTTCTGTTTTTGATGTGGGTGACTGTCCTATGGGGAGGTGTTGGGGTAAGGAGTGATCTCGTATCCTTCTTTAGGCTTGGATATTGTTACAGCTGTATGTATGCTCATCGAAATATAACTCTTCTTTACATTTGAGCATATATATTCATTAGGATCCAGTGGTAGTTTCCCTGTTTTTCTCTTTTATTTATCCTTTGTCCATTTTTTAACACCTCTGATCCAACCAGATGGTTCATTTTCTTGTTTGCTTATGCACCCGTTCTTTTCTTTAACCAGACAGTGCTAACACATGGGTTGGCCGACTATGGCCCATAGACCAATCTGACTGCTGCCTGTTCTTATAAATAACATTTTATTGGAACACAGCCATGCCCATCCATTTATATATTGTCTGTGGCTTCTTTTGTGTTACAACAGCAGAGTTGAGTAGTTATATCAGGGAAACTTAAAGCTAAACTATTTACTATGTGGGCCTTTTATAGAAAAGGTCTGCGGACCCCTGCTCTGAACCCTCAGTTCACCTACTTTGTTGAATGACCGTATAATTGGGACATAGAGTCTCCTCATTGCACAGGCAGCCTGAAAAGAAAGGGCTGTGGTGTTCCAGGTAAGTTAAGAGTTTATAGGAAGACTTTAGCCCTCTACACACATCAGATTTAGCTATCCAAAAAAGCCCACAGGGCCAGAGCAGATCCGTTTAGTTGCAATGTAGAAAATTGACATTTTTGTAGGTCAAAACTTTTGCATTTGGGGAGTTTTATAAAGTTTTGTAAAGTTGGACCTAATCTAACTTAATTTCCCTAGACCCCCAAGAATCAGGAGAACCTACTGTCTCTAGGTAGGGCAGTGACATTTCCTTTCAGTTATTTTTTTTTTAAAGATTTTATTTATTTATTTGACAGAGATCACAAGTAGGCAGAGAGGCAGGCAGAGAGAGGGGGGAAGAAGCAGACTCCCTGCTGAGCAGAGAGTCCAATGCGAGGCTCGATCTCAGGACCCTGGGATCATGACCTAAACCACTGAGCCACCCAGGTGCTCCTCTTTTCAGTTATTTTTTACACAAATAATCTTTGTGCTTCTGTTCAAGAAGCTCACAAAGGTAAAGTCCTTGAATGAAACTATACCATCAAGGCAGTATGTCCACCTGGAGAGAAAGAAGCTAGTTCCAGTTCTAGTTCTCCCCGACAGAGTCTAGGCTGCTGGTTTCCCTGATCTGTTGAGGCCCCATCTGTGGGAGAGTATCACTGGTAGTTTGAGCTCCAGTAGTAGACATCTGCTCCACCACTGTAGCTACCAGGCTGTGGTGAGATGGCTTATCCAGGGCCCATTAATTTGGGAACTCAATCCCATTTTACATGGCACACTTGCTCTCTTGTCATTAATTCATAGTCCAGTTGAATCACCTGTAGGTGATTTTGCAAGAAGTAAAGATACAAAACATTTTAAGACAAATTACACTGGCGAACTATTTTAAGCCTACAGATAATACATTCTAGGATATCTGATGTCCATAGGCATTTCTGCTGCAGGAAACAAAAATAAAAACTGGGTGCAAGAGCTCAATTTTTGGGGTTTAGGCTCTGACTCCACCTTGTAAAAGTTAGGCACTTTGGGACATAGCTCTCAGTCTATTTAGATTGGTGATTACTCAGGTATAAATTGAGAGTTGAAATAGGACATCTCAGAGAACTTGATCATTTTAGAAGTGCAGTGGGCATCCATTTACGGATTTATTTGAATTGCTAAAAGGAAATCAATTTTTGAAGAAGGTATTCAGATAATATTTTCTAGTATATCACTGTTTGCAGATCACAAATAACTGGTTGTAGGGGAAATTACTAACTTATTTTGCATCCCACTTAATTAGTAATTTGCTACAGGACCATGTGAGGATAGGCAGAAATGAAGACAAATTCCCCCTGGGACATAATTGGGGTAGCCATATTTGCCAGGTTTCCTGAGACAGTCCTAATTTATGTTTGTTGTTCCAACATAATCATTAACAGTGTTCCCTTTCATTCTTAAAATTGTTCCCATTAAGATGACAAAGTATGGTTCCATTAAGTGTAATACAATAGAAACTGATGTTAAAGTTTTTTAAAAATCACTGATTAAAACTTTAAGGCCCACAATTATTATATAAAGTAGATTTTGTTTATTGGGGAAAAAACTGTTACCACACATCGTTATTACTTTTCACACAAAAGATGATGGTCACTCAGTCCATGGGTATAGAGTTAAACCACTAATCTTGAGGTATTGTTATGATCATCAGTCTACATTTACTTTCTTCTTTCAAAAACAGGAAGTGTTTTAGACTTACCGAGGTAGTTAGGCTCATTGTATTTTTTAAAAGCAGACCCAGACAAATCCAGAGAGGCAATCTCTTCGTTACCTCTTGGATTAAGAACTCTCTAGAAGAGACCTCTTGTTTCTTTCCTGGGTTTCCTAAACGAGAAGGACTACTTGGAATGGGTTTACACCTATGATTAGAAAAAGGAGAGGCAGGTAGAACAACCCTTCCTTGCCTCCCCAGCATTATCCCACATCCAGTGTGTGACTGGTGGAGGTCAAGGACAACAAAATTATATCCGGGGTTAGGATTAATAGAGCTCTCCGAGACCTCCTTATGTAAATATCCTATTGAAAGCTTATAAAGTTTGAGCTGGCCTGGACCTACAAGACTGATTTCTTTATCCGTTTGTAAAGTGGAATGAGTTCCAAGTCTGGTCTTGCAGTTCCGGGGCTGTCTGGGTGGTGCTAAGAAGCATGCGTCTTCACGTCTGCGAGGCTGGGGGGTGCCTGTGTGCGCATGCGCTCATTCCTTCTTGCTTTAGGGTGCCCTTGGCCCAGGGTTGTTTATTGGCCTGTTTTTCTCCTCAGTTTCACAATAAGGTGACCTGCTTCATGCTGCATCACATTGAGGAACCCTGCTCCCTGGGGGCTCATGCTGCTGTCATTGTCCCACCCACCTGGATCATTAAGGTGAAGAAACCTCAGGTAACTTCTGGGCCCCTGGTGCTCCTCGGCCAGTGCGGAGAAAAAGGAACTGCTGCTTCTTGCTTTTCTTGCCCTGACTCTTTCTGGGGTTCCGAAAATCTCTGCTCACTCTTCCCTACGGCCCCATGCTCAGCTTCCCCAGTCCATTCCATTTAGCCCATCGCTGTACCACAGTTGGGCTCTCTCATGGAACCAGCCTCCCTTTCCTGAAGAGATCCAAGTTCCACAGCAGGAATGGTTCCTTCCCTTTCAGGTGCTAATGGTGTTCTCCTTGGGTGTTCTCCTGAGTTCATTAAATGCTAGTGGTGGGTGCAACTAACCCTTACACAACTCTCTTCTCTTCCAGCCTGGGCATCCCCAGGGACTGAATGTGAGGGCAGACTGTACAGGCTTCATTGTTTGGTTGAGCTTGCCACCACTTCCAACCTGAACGGCAGACTGGGGGTCATGACCTTCCTAAGTACACAAGGCCCGCTCAGAGAGCAACACTCTTTTCTTAAGGCAAAGTAGAATTTATCCTCTTAACACCTAATCTCCTTCTGTATTCAATTCTTGTTGTACATTCTGTCCTAGAGCGTCTCTGCGATGTTCCGGGAAACCTTAGCGGTTTCTCAACACGGTCGTAATCTTTGAGAGCAAAATATCTACCTTCGTACTGTACATCTTAGACCACGAGCTCCAAGTTATGGGATGGCAGACTCGTAATGCTACAGTGGGAGCAGGGGGCAGGGGGAGGATGATAGCTGTTCTGGGGATGCAGCGACCTTAGGATATCCTGCTGAATGTAATATCTTTAAAAGATAAGGCAGTCCTACTTTATATGGTCTTCAGAATCATCATGCAGTTTATTCTCACTGACTCAGTGTTATTTAAAACACTGGCAGATCAAGGACACTGTTTTGCTTTGTGTGTTTTACATAGCATTCAGCTTCTGTTGATGAGTAACATTTAGTAATATCTTTCCTAGTTACGGTCCACAAAAGCCTTTAGGAAATCTCTTCCAGAGGCAGGTGCACTATCTGTACATTAAAAAATGGGGAGCCTAGCTTTTTCATCTTACGTCTTCGAGTTGTTAAATGAGTGGCCCAAGGTGTTAGCAAGTGTAGTACTATGTTTGAAATTCAGGTACTGATTTCTAATTTACTGTTAATTTCAAATCTCTAACCTTTTTACTTCTCTGGTTCCCCAACCCCTAAAATTCTCTCTCTAAGAGTTTTATATTAAATACTCAGTTAAATCAACATGTTTTCATTGAAAACCCTGATGGTATTAAGAAAGCTCCTAGGCATCGTGATGTAATGCGTGATCCACTCTGAAGAATGGTGTGGTTTTCTTAAGGAGAGATCAGGGAGAGCCTCATGAAGTAGGTGAGTTATATTCTACCTCTCTAAAGATGGGTGGGATTTAGATGGATGGAGAAGAGAGGAAATAGCAGGCAGAAGAATGGCATGAGCAAGGCTGCTGTGTCCAAAACTGTTCTCCTGAGGCTGTGAGACTAGTTTATACTGCATGGGTAGTGGTGTATTTCTCTGATGTTGCTTTCAAAGGAACAGGTGTCAGATTATTCACTCTTTTTTTTTTTTTAAGATTTTATTTATTTATTTGACAGATCACAAGTAGGCAGAGAGGCAGGCAGAGAGAGAGAGGGGGAAGCAGACTCCAAGCTGAGCAGAGAGCCCAATGTGGGGCTCCATCCCAGGACCCTTATATCACGACCCAAGCCGAAGGCAGAGGCTTAACCCACTGAGCCACCCAGGTGCCCCAGGTTGTTCACTCTTAGTTTTAAGACTAATCAGTGAGTTTTGGAGCTATGCTTCTAATCCATCTATCCTAAAGTTGTCCATCAGCCTTTTACCATTTTATCCATTGAAGATTGTTACCTAAATCTATTATATTAGGGGGTTACCAAGAGGTGGTTTTTCCAGTTTTCATTCTTCTTTATTCTCCTGCTGGTAATAAAAGAACTAAAAAATAAAACTAATACATGACAGATGCTTGAGTATTTACCTTTATTTGTAAATTTTCAGAACAATAAGTTGGCGCCTTAGCAACATTATTGGTTGGCTAAGGGTGGTGGTAGTGGTGGTTTTCAGAGAGTATCATTATGAATTATCAACTTACCTCATGTGATATATAAAATATATGATACTTCAATCCATCGGCATAATTTTTTTAATATTCATATTGTTTTATCTTTGACCAGTTAGACCGCCTTCCAGATGGCTCTTGTCTCCATTTTTCATGAGCTATGCGGGTTTTGATGCCTTCCTTGGTTTCAGGAATCATGCCATTTCCCAGGATCAACTTATGCATTTCCTGCCCATACCTGGAAGCAGCCATTTCTCTGAGGAGTCTTGGTTACTTCTAAGGGTGGATGGTATTACAGTTCACAGTCTGGATGCTAAAGTCCAGATTGTTCTCATCACACATTTTCTTATTGTCCTTCTGTGATTCAGAAAAGAAGAGTAAGAAATAATAATAATAATAAGAGTAAGAAAAACTAACATGTATTGAATGCTCACTAACACAGGGAGCATTCACAACCAGAAAGTGAAAGGAGGAAGAGGATCCTGCAGAACAGGGAGAGACCTATCATAGCACAGAGTTTCATCATGAAAAATGGAAAGAAAAATAGGGCAGTCATCAATGTTGAATTCTGTAGGCATTAAAAAATAACAAGGATTGAGAAGAATCTTTGCGTTTGGCTCTGGATCATTGATGACCATCAGAACATGCTTTTATATGTATTAGGAAATATTTTAAGTACTTTACATTCAGTATCTCATTTTACCATTAAGTAACCTCTGAGACAGGTATCCTATTCCCACGTTGTAGCCAAGGAAAATGAGAACTAAAGTCAAATAAATTACCCAGGGCCACATAGTTATTAAATAGTTTGAAGTGACATTTGAACCTAGGAATTGTGATTCTGGAAACAGAGCTCTTAATGATACGTCCTGCTGCCTTCCTGTCTTACTGTAGCAAGCCTTGCTGAGTCCTTCCTCCTATGGGTCCCCCAAAGAAGTAATTTAATCCATTAACTAAATTCCATTTGAAAGCCAGTGTATGGTGAGCGTGGGGGACAATACTGTGGTTGAGAGTTCTAGCTTATGAGCCAGACTGCCTAGATTCATAAACTTGCTCTGCTGTTTAATGACTTGTCTAATCTCAAGAATTTAAACTCTTCAACTTCTCATCTGCAAAGTGTAAATAATAATTAGTGCCCAATTAATGGGTTTTCATGAGGACTAATGAGCTAAAAAATAAAAATAAAGCACATGAAACAGCACTAGCTCATTGTAAAACTCAAATGTTAGCTCTTATTATTTTCCTTGTTGAGTACAGGGTATCAAATGAAGTTCTACATCAACAGATGAAAAATAATAGAAGTTATTGTTCCCTGGGCCATGTGTATTACACTGAGAGAAGAAAGGAAGAGAGGGATTCTTATAGAAAAAGAGACAGAGTGGGGACCACAGCCTAGTATCTGCTGTGCTCTCAAGTGCACCTTGAGATGCCACTGTAGCTGTTGGATGTCACACGGCAGTGGGATTGTGTGTTCACTAGCGTGGTCCTTATCCCACGGCGAAGAGTTAATTCAGTCACTGAACTGAGGAACTGAAGAAGACATGGTGAGCATTCACAACCGAAAAGGGAAAGGAGGAAGAGAATCCTGAAGAACAGGGAGAGACCTATCGTAGCACAGAGTGTCATCAAGAAAAATGGAAAGAAAAATAGGGCAGTCATCACTGTTAAATTCTGTAGGCATTAAAAAATAACAAGGATTGAGAAGGGTCTTTGCCTTTGGCTCTAGATCATTGATGACTGTCAGAACTCTAGTTTGTAGAGTGTGGGTGGCAAGCTGTTAGTGACGTGTGGAAGCAGTGAGATTAAAGAATTCACTGGAGACATTGAGAAATGCTAAAAAAGGAATTTGAAAATTAGATGGAGAACAGAACAGTAGCAAAATGTTTTTCCTACTTGTAGAATTTATTTTTTTTTTTCTGTGTATTTCTGAATGTGAGGACATGGCTTAAAAACAAGAAGATATTGTTAACTGAGTGAAGTAGACATTTAACTCCATTCACAGAGGCCATTATATGCAGCGGGAGGTCCACAGATGAAACAGATGTTCATCTGATGTCCACAAAGAGTATCCTCCCTAGGCGAGAAAATTGATACAACTAAATCTCTGGGCAGGGAGTTTTGGATTCTGGAAAAGGAATTCAGCCACATGTAAATCTGTAATGAAAAAGAGTGGTCTTCAGGTTTTTGGAAGGTTTGCCTTGGTCGTCAGCGTGCATCTTTTAGGACAGATATACACAGTGTGGTGAGAGGAAGCCCCAGAGGTGGGGTGAACCAGCCTTGGTCTGTGAGAGGACAACACGGCTAAGGCAGTGAGTGGTGAGTGTGACCCGAGATGTAGCAATGGGGTAGAAACATGAGGAACTGTGTGACTTTGATTGTGGAGATCACTGCAGGCTAAACAGAAAACGCTGTGTATGCTTGGTCTTGAAGGATGTGAGGGGCCTCACTTGGAAGACAGATGAAGAAGTACAGCCCAAGCTTACAGAACATTCTGGGAACTGCTGTTAAGGTGCATCCCCAAATATGGTCAGCTTTATTTGTGACGCTTGTGTCTAAAAAATGACTCTAGAGAGAAAGAAACCTACTTGAGAGCATAATGGTCGGAGAAGCAGATTGTAAAGAGGTGGAATTAAGTCATGTATTTTCTGTATCAGTTAAAAGATGGCTGGTTCTGAGTAAAACATGGTTCTGGGACCAGCTGTGTGAAGCTTGCATGGTAAGGAGAACGAGGACGGGTCTGGATGATTTGTTGGGTTTCATCACCAAATTATTTGGAGAGACCTAGAACATAAAAGATGATGGAATTTAGATGATAGTCCAGAATTAAAAGGACCAAATTTTAAGAATCAGCACAAATCTGTTCATGCATTTTTTTTTAAAGATTTTATTTATTTATTTGACAGACAGAGATCACAAGTAGGCAGAGAGGCAGGCAGAGGCGGGGGGCGGGGAGCAGGATCCCCACTGAGCAGAAAGCCAGATGCGGGACTCGATCCCAGGACCCTGGGATCATGACCTGAGCCGAAGGCAGAGACTTTAACCCACTGAGCCACCCAGGCGCCCCCTGTTCATGCATTTAAAGGCAAAGTTATATTTAATGTTACAGATGTCACTGTTTCTGCTCTGGACTGAAAATGTTAGAGGATGATATTTTGACTGTATGAACAAGTTGAAGATGTTGAAATACTAGTGCGAGCGTTTGGAGCTGATGGAGAAAGACTCATGATATGTGAATGTTTGTGGGGTCAGGTTATAGGAGACTAGAGGTGTGTGTTTTTAATAAATTACATCATTATGCACATAATACTTTAAAAGTTGCCTTTCCTACTTAAAAAAAATATTGGGGAAAAGTTTGCGTTAATACATCTAGATTTAACCCCCTTTAAAACTGCTATATATGTTCTGTACTATAAATAGATTACAATTTATACAATTTGTTTAGCCAACTCCCTACTGGTGGAGATTTATATAGTATCTCATGGTTGACTTATAAAAAATGCTGCCATCAGCTCCTTCCTAGCCCATATGGGCTCTCTCCATGTTAGTCCTTATTCTTTATGATTAGATAATATGAATATGCTTGGACCCAGGACATGTAATAGCTAGGATCAACCATATCTCTCAAAAATTGCTCTAGCCATTTCCTTTGGTCAGTTCGAAAGGTTAGGCAATCCTTGCTGTGATTTAACCAAATATGCTTGAGAAATGGCAGAGACCCTGTCCTTATCTTTTGGAAGTAGTTGATTTCTCTGCTCGCCTATCCTCAGGACAACTTTTGTCCTGGCGGTGCAGCCAGAGCAGGCAGCACAAGAACACTCACTAGTAAGACGAAGTCCATGCCTCTTCTACCACCCATCAGAGTTTTTTCCGGTATGCGATGGGGGAAGGCTTCATTTGGGATGACAAATTGTGAGATATCTTCTCTTTAGAGCTGTTGTTATAACCAGTCCTTTGTGATCCCATAACCTGGGAAAAGCCCTAAAGGATATTAGGAAGTAGTTTAGTTTTATTCCCAGTTGAGTGATTTACCCAATGAGCATTTTTTTTTTTTTTAAATAGCCCAGGAAGGGATCCTGACTACGATAGAGACTTTGTTTATCGGATTATTTCTGTAAAGTAGTACGGTCCCAATACCTGGTCCAAAAAACCCAAAAGGCCTTTATCTATTCTTAGGACTTGAACACAACAGTGGGCACAGAATGTATGGGGGACAAATGCTGTTAGAGTCTGAAACATACAAAAATCCATACGAGGGTACAACGTTGTACTGTTGGGCTGGTGTTCAACTTGCCAAGCAAACCTTCTAGAGGACAGGGTTAGCCACCCTTGATGATGGGGATATTTCTGTTGTAGAACACAGCACACGTATTACGAATGGTTTCTTGAATGATATCACAGCACGTCTACAAAACGGCTTCTTGGAATAATTTTTATGTTCTTGAAAAGCAGGCTGTTTTAACTCTCACAACAAGACTGACCCAGGCAGGGTGAGCAATATCTTAGATGAGCCAGACTGGCTGACTCGTCTTGTCATGGCTGAAACACAAGCCAGCTCGGCTTCCCCGTCCATCTGTTCCCCACTGGATGGCGATGCCTTTTAGAAGAAGTTCAGTGTTGAAATTGAGATACATATTTACACGTGAACAGAAGGAAACCCTGGGAATTTGGAGGTCTTCTGTGAAATCCCATACTGCTTATCTTTTGCTATCTGTCCATAGGGATGTAAGCTTACTCCGAGCTCACACAGAAGCTTCCAGGGACTGTAAGTCAACCTCTGTGCTTCTTCTGGGCCCCCTCCTTGTTCTGTGAGATGAGGAGGACCTCACGTGCACTTGGCTCCATGAGGCTCGGAAGCCTTGTATTTGCTCTGTGTGGAAAAGGCCATCGTGTATGTCTGTTCCCTGTTAGAGTTGAGGTCCTTGCCTGCTCTGTTTTCAGACCTCAAGCCTTCTCTGGATGTGTTTTTCTAACTATGTTTCCCAAACATCCTTGATCAGCAGAGTCACCTGAAGAGCTGTGATTTCTGGGATCAGGCAAGGTTCGGGAATGATCTTAGCCTGACCCATTAAACTTCTCTCTCAGAGCGTAGTTACTGAGTGCTGCCAGGAACCGAGGCCTGTTGTGCATTCCTGAAAGCACTTGGCTCCCTGCATTGCTCTTGGCCATAAATGAACTAAAGCAACAGGGAAGTTAGGAGACGAGCATTCAGTTCCGAAAGATCCTTTCCGAAACCAGGAAGGACTCAGTAAGTGTTGCGAGTTACAATACTGACTCATTTCAACAATGACTTGAGCACACACTGTGGGCCGGGCATCAGTGCTCGGTGCTGGGGATATACAGCCACGAACGAGGCAACTAACATTTACGGAAGCGCTTATCACGGGCCGAGACCAAGCTAACTGCTTCACATACCTTTTCTCCTTTTAACTTCACAACTGCCCTGTGAGGTAGGTATTGTCACCTTCATTCTTAAGTTAAGAAACTGTTATTTCAAAAGCTTGCCTGACTTGGCCAAGGTCACAGATCTTGTAACCGGAAGACCCAGAATTAGCACCTGGTGTGTCCAGTTCCACGGCTCCGGCTCCTTATCCCATTGAAATGATGCTTCAGTGCCTTACGTATGTCTCCCCACTTTTCCCTTTGACTTCAGAGGTTCTCAGCTCTGGCTACCCACTGGAATTGCCTGGGCAGCTTTTAAAAAGCATCTTTGCCTAGGCTTCATGCCAAACAAAGAATATTTGGGGGTCCACAGATCTGCATTGTTGAAAGACCTCTGGGTGAGGCCAACATGCTGTGATGGGTTGAAAACCACTCAATATCATTAATTGCCATCCTAAGAGTTTCCAGCGTTCTTCTTGGGACACTTGGCTGATTAAGTGTTTACGGCGTCCAGGTAGTTTTTCTTCCCTTTTAAACAAAGTAGTTAACATGTGGGAAATACTCTAATAATGCAAAAGTTTCCCCGAAGTGGAACATGGTAACAGATCCATTTAAAGAGGAATTCAGAAACGTGGAGAACTTTTTGTAGGAGAGCTGTGATCTACAGTGAATGGTAAGAAATAACCTGGGGTCTAGAACACCCATGAGCTCCTGAGCTTCTGGGTCTCTCTCTTCTGGTGAGACTTGGAACCTGAAAACTCTCTTAATTGGATGGAAGAAGAAAGCTTTGGGACAAATGATGGTTCAAGAAAGTTTCCTTCATCCTTGATGAGCACCGGCTACAGAGCAATGTATGTTTTTATGGTCCAAATGAAAGTAAACTCAGAAGTCAAATAGTTTCAATCTTGCTAATTTGAATGTGTTAATGTATGTACTCGAGACTAAGGTATATTTTGAATGCGGTAAAAAGAAAATACCCAGGAACCTAAAAGAACAGATACCTAAATTTCTTGAAGCTATTTGAAAATCTTTATCTGCTCAAGCAATGCATGTGTCTATGCTTATATAAGCTTTTAAGTTAAGCCTTCTGTGTTTCAGGCTTTCAACACTTTGTTAAACATCTATGATGTGATAGTAACATCTTGCCTTTGTGAAGATGGCAATCTAATTAATTATTGACTCTCTACTAATTAAGCCAGTGAGTTGTGACTGTCCCCTAAGAGAAGTTCTTCTCAAAGCATCTGTATCACAATCTCAGAGTAAATGGTCAGTTGAAGTAATCACAAAGTTGTGGTCCACAAAACTCCTGGAAAGAGAAAAACAGGGAAAGTGAATTTGGGGTCCCTGGATTCCACAGGTTGGAGGCATGTCTGTGAGAAGAACAAATCAAGGCTACTGGGGGAGAGAAGGCTTTTCAAACCAATAGGTCTTTAGAGAAAGAGTGGTGATCGTCACTCTACTAACATAAGTAATTTAAGGTGAGTCTTATCTCTGCATTTTAAAACCTAACCCTCAGCACTGATAGGATAGTTAGATCATCATGTTCCCCAGGGGATCAAGTTACCTTATGACTATAACTAGAAAGGTCATTACCAAAGTAAACAGAAAAAAAAAAAGAAGAAGAAAGGAAAGAAAAAAAAAGAGAAAGAAAAGAAAAACATGAAAAATGGCCTCCTTTTTTACATTTCCACATAGGTGATCTCCATTGCAGGAGATGAACTTGAACTTGGTTGGGCGGGAGACGGACCTGGTTGGGCGGGAGACTGGAGCCCCTCAGAGAATTTGGGATTCTTCCATTTTTACTGGGAGGGTTGGCAGGTATAACTTGTGTTGTTATGTGAGTCCATGAGAGCCTCCAGGGTTCTAACTCGCTGCCTCTCCATGTGGTGGGGAGTCGGTCGCTCCCTCTGAAGCACTCGACTGGTTTCTGTCTGTGGCTTACCCATGAACAGTGGCTTGGAAGTGTCAAAGCATGAGAAGCATGCCGTGGACCAGCATGCGCTGCCCTCGTCTCCTCCATGGGTCTGCATGGCAACCTCAGGCGCTGTCCGCCTCTGCGCTCAGCTGTTGCCTTCTTTCCCTACAGAACTCGCTAAAGGCTTCGAATCGGAAGAAGAAGAGGACCAGCTTTAAAAGGAAAGCCAGTAAAAGAGGGACAGAAGTAAGTGTTTCGGGACTCTGTGCCCATGAGCAGCTCCCTCCTCCTCACCGTAGCCTCTGTCTGATGTGATCTGGCCCAAGCTTCTTTTCCTCATAAATTTTTGGCCCCCGGTCCCTCCTTTGCTACACTCACTCGAACCACACACTGGAATTCCTTTCAATTTCTGGAAAACGTGTACATGTATAACTTCCTGCGACTAAAGGGTCAGAGGATTTGCACTCGTCCGTGGAAATAGGATCCCAAGATGATGATGAAGAAATCCCATTTCTAGAATGCCCAGAGCATACAGAATAGAAGGAAAAAAAAGTTCTTGTTTTTGAGAACAAGGGCTTGTTCTCAAAGGCGAATTATAGCTCGAGAGCCTTTTTTCTAAACTATATATGGACTATCTTTTTAATAGTAAGCCCTGTGAAACAAGATGTAGCTTTTTTTGGCTAGGGGGAGGGAATCAAGGGTTAATGGTGGTGGAGTACTGGTATTTTCTCCCTTCCATTGCTTTTGGGCTATGCATCCAAGTCATGGACGAATGTCTCAAAAGTGTTGCTTTCTTCCTTTAGCAGGAAAACAAAGGTCGTCCTTTTGTGATAAAACCTATCTCTTCTCCTCTCATGAAACCGTTGCTTGTGTTTGTGAACCCCAAGAGCGGAGGCAACCAGGTGAGTCATTTTTCATGAGTTTAACTTGGAAGCCTCAGTGCTTTCTTGCAAACAGTTTCCAACACCAATTCAAATAGCACCACCTAGAGCCCCAAGCATTGGAAGACAACTAGTTTCTCAGGGACAGGGTTAGTGATGCAGGACATAGTCTTACTGCAGGGTTAGGCAAAACCTGGAGGTCCTATGATTTATCCCTCAGCTTCCAAGTAAGACTCCAAAATGCTGACTCCAGCGGCACTACAAAAATGCTGACGGTTTCCTTACAGCTTTTCAAAAAAGATCATTCCAAAATCTCACGGTTAATATGTTTCAGAGTTTCTTAACTCTTTGTTAGGAAGCTTTTTATGGACTTCTCTTCATGGCTTCCCCTTGTAAGTTAGACCTGACTACTTTCGTCCCTATCCTCAGAGCAAAGCGAGAACAATGATTCACCATTCCCAGTGATCATTCACAACAAACGCCACCAACGCTATCAAAAATATCACCTCCTAAAGGTTCCATTTGGTCCGTGCCCAAATCTTGTGGCATAATTAATCACGACCTCATTTGAGGAGAAAGTAATAGCCTGAGAACACTTATGTGTAATGACATACCTGAAGTGACACAGCTCTTTAAAGGACAGAATTTGTTCTAGAATCTAGGTCTTTGTCTCCTCATACACTTCTCTTCCTACTCTGAGGCTTCTTATCGGTACTCTTCTTTGGCTTTGATTCTTCTCTATCTTCCTGTGAGAATAAATATAAAATATTTTCTCTGTCCATTAAGTGCACATTTTTCATTTTGAGGTGAGATTCCTTGAAGTTTCACACTTTACAATTACCGATTTGAAACTGTCTCGTTAACTCCATGTAAGGAGGGGAGTCCTATAATTAGGATTGATGTTCTTCCTACGAAGGATGCCGGGCATTTTTCCAGAAGGATTAATTACAATAAAGCTTCTCTTCAGAGGGCTTATGATTTAAAGAAAATACTTTTTCTCCATTTCTTTCTTTGCTTAAAAATTCTTGATAATGTTCTGTGTTAAAAATCTTTAACATTGAAGAAAACAGGGAAAAGAAATATGCCGTAAGTGAAAAATCTACTTTCAGCGTCCTGCTTTTTTTAAGTTGGTGAGTGATGATCTTCATATTGTGATGATGGCGATCCTGAGACTGTTACTGGAGGGGCTTTTCGGAAGTGGGGTTCAGTGTGCCCTGAACCAGAGTCATTCCCTAGGTCTGGTCTCCCTAGAGCCTCATGAGGGGTGGAGATATATTTGGAGACCCTGGAATCAGCAAAGCTAATGTAATGGACTCCATTGACTTTGACCACTTGAGTATCACATGCTAATTCCCAATATATTTTACCATGAGAGTCATTCTAGAAGATGCGCTCATTAAATCATAAGCCTTTTTCCTCAGGCACTTAGAAACTTGTAGGTTTCAGGAGCAGACAGGCCATTAAGATAGAGCCCATTTTTGTTGGGATCTCTAAATAAATTAGTAATGCCAGAGCTGATCCCACACTGTTTCCTATTTCACTAACTAGAAAACAAGAAAGCTTAAGTAAACTTTCTAAGGGCATCTTGTTAATGACACTAAAGGGGCAAATGGGAAAAATAATTCAAACAACATTAACTATATGTGAGTTCTGAATTGAGTGGATCAAACCGAGATTGTTCTGGAATTTCAGAGCAGTGACTTGGGAGTGGTAAAAAAATGTTGTCATAGAAATGTCTGAATTGACAATGGACCTACTTACTTATACAGAAAGAGAAAGTTGGGCGAGCAGTGCCCCCTTTCCTTCTCACTCCATGGCAAACTCCTGTTCATCCTTTAAGGCTTTGAACCATTTCCCAAAATGAGTCACCCTGTCCACTGTGCTCCCATAGTCCTTGGCACAAACCTGTGTTTTGTGAATTGCAGTCTAAGTGCTCTGTGGGTGTTCTGCTAAGACAGAGCCTCCCTATCGCCTGGGGCAGCACCTTCCAACCTGTGATTTCTAGTGCGTGGGCTCTAGAAGTGAACAAATAATCATGTAACAAGCAATGCGGGTTTTACAGCGAGTTATCTGGACAGCGGCTTTGTTACTGATAAGAGTTCAGGAAAGGGAAGCATTATACTGGAAAAGAAGTTGAGATGTGTTTGAGATACTGGAAGTGACCCTGAGGTATTCAAATAAAAATGCCTAGGTATTAGAGACAAAAGACTTAAGTGATTTGCTCTCATTTTATGCATTTTGGCTTATGAGACTACTTCTAGAATATCTAGGACTCTCAGAAGTATGGCTAACCACATCAAAATGAATGTTGTATAACTTTCTATTTCTTTGTAAAATAGAGTTTTTACTAAGCCTAGCAAAGAGCATTGCTTCTGAGCACAGTGCGAAATGCTGAGAAAGTTTTAAATATATCCAGATACCTTTGTACAATGGCAATCATTCAAACTGATCTCCATTTTCAGTCTTAGGAAGGGACCGCGTGATTCCCAGTTGTAGTGAGTAGGGAAGGGTCGTGGTCATAGATGATCTGATTCCTCTATTAGGGCCCACCTTTTCCTGTGCTGTGGCTGTCCTGTGCCCTTATCACTGCAGATGAGGGGAGATTCAGAGGGTGAACTGTGAAAGTTTCTCACTCTTTGGCTCCCTTGAATCTTGTTTCCTCCATAATTTTGGCCTCCCCCGCCCCCCGAACCTTGTTGTGATAAAGGATCAAAGGGTGATTCAGGACAGCCCTGAAAACAGGGCAAGTGAGCCCCAGGAAGGTGGCCCTGAGATTCTGCTTTTCTAGAAAAACCACACTGATTAGCAAGGGCCGACTAGAAGCACTTCCCTGCTGTTGTTCAAACCTGTTTTTTGCTTTTTAATGCCTGATTTATTTTGCTTATCTCCTTGTAGATAGAAAGCACTCCCTCTTTAAAGCCGAGGCTTTGGTACCTCGGTGGCTCAGTGGGTTAAGCCTCTGCTTTTGGCTCAGGTCATGATCAAGGCCCACATCGGGCTCTCTGCTCAGCAGGGAGCCTGCTTCCCGCTCTCTCTGCCTGCCTCTCTGCCTACTTGTGATCTCTCGCTCTCTGTCAAATAAATAAATAAAATCTTTTTAAAAATTTTTAAAAATAAATAAAGCCAAGGCTTCAAACTTTTATTTAAACTTGCTTGGGCTTCTCTTAAGTAACTAACTAGACTCTGTCGCCATCTTCTGGCAAGAAAAATACCTACAGCTTTTCAGAAATGCAGTATTTTGTGTGCGTGCAGAAATTTTCCTGCACATTGCAGGAATACATTGAGACGAACACATTTGGGACTGCCTCAGTGTCCTTTTTAAACAATAATTTGTTTTAAACAGTTATTTCACAGTAATTCTCTCTGTTTTTCCGTCACTTAAGGTGGAGGGGATAGTGGGAGTTCTGAAAGTTTTAGAGGTTGGCGGCGCTGCTGCTGGGGGAACGGGAACTGGAACCAGGGACTACAAGGTCAACTTTGAGTTTCTTCCCCTGTGGAAAAGATGTAATACCTGGGAGATAAAGTTTACACCCGCGCAGTCCCCCCCTCTGTGTTTGAAAACCTGAGGACTCGAAAAATAGCCCCCTTCCCTTAGGTAACTTAACTTTCGCTCTAACTTCAGAACTTAGCGTTTCTCGTGATGTCCCTGACTCATTAGTATCTTTCTCCCTGAGTCTTATGTCGACACTCCTGACATCTTTCGATGTTTCCTGCTTTCCCACGATCTCTCCTAGAGGCTCCCGCTCAGGACTTCTTTTCCAGGGACTTAAGTTATATGTTCCGGGTTAAGCAGGTGTTCTGCCCCCTAGAGTGATTCTGCCTTGTCAGTCTTGACACCTGGGGGGGTCCGGACCCTGGCTTCTCACACCATTCAGCATGAAGTCCCCGGGAGGAGGGGCGGCATGAGTTGCATTCGACTTACAGGGGCCTTATCAGTAGGTGGCAAGAGGAAGGGAGTATCCATTTGTGGGCACACTGAGTGCTCATGCTGAGTCCAGCCCCATCACGTGGCTGGACCTGTGTACTGTCACCCCAGGGCCACCCCTCCTCGGTCAGGGGCAAGTCACCCAAGGTGGGAGAGGGAGACAAAAATCAGTAACTTCAAATGTTTGAGTCCCCAGACCTTTTTTTAAAAAAAGATTTTATTTATTTATTTGACAGAGAGATCACAAGTAGGCAGCGGCAGAGAGAGAGGGGGAAGCAGGCTCCCCGCTGAGCAGAGAGCCAAATGCGGGGCTCGATCCCAGGACCCTGGGATCATGACTCGAGCCGAAGGCAGAGGCTTAACCCACTGAGCCACCCAGGCATCCCAAGACCTTCTAAATTCTTGAGCAAACAACCTCAGTGATATTCTGTGATGTACAACCTGGGGATAAATCAAGAATCATGATGTTTGTATATAATTTTAGGCTCCTAATGCTTAGAACAGGCTAGGAAGAGGGCAGAAGGGTAGTCAGCAGACGGTTACACATGTTGAAGTCCATGCCCAAGATCTTGTCAAGCCAGCCTCAGCAGATGGAAATAAATCAACAAGACAATAAATCTTTTCCCCAGTTATAATACTGGTGGAAGTGTGGGGGCAGCTGTCTTACTCCACTCAGGCTGCTCTAACCGAATACTGGATACTAGATGGTTTAATAACGGGAATTTATTCCTTACAGTTCTGGGGGCTGGGAAGCCCACCATCAAGGCACCAGCACATATGGGAGCTGCTAAGGTTCCCCTTCCTCGTTCCCGGAGCGCCGTCCTCTCCCTGTGTCTTCTTGCTGTGTCTTCACATGCCAGAAGTGATGAGGGAGCTCTTTGGCGTCCCTTTTATAAGGGCACTAATCCCATTCATGAGGGCTCCACGTCCCCCCAGGGCCCCATCTCCTTTGATAGGACGAGAGCCCGCCTGACTGTCTAGCTCCTTAGTTTCTAGCCGGACTGATACATGACAATGTCAGTCTGGCTCCCCTGATTACAAGATTCCAATGACTCTCATTCCCTAGAATACAGAGCCCAAGCTCCTTAGCCGTTTA